GTTAGCAAAAGATGGATTCGTGCGCGCTAGGCTAAAGAGGACACGTTATTAGAATTCATCCGGCGGCTGTCATCGCGGGGGTGGCAGGGTGACGTCGAGTTTGGATTCCACTGAGCCCTCGAAAAGCAACGGCGACGCTATTCGGTAGCGACTTTTTCCTTTTCTTTTTTTTAAATCGCAACACGAGGAATGCACGTTGCGAATTGTATCATATTCGAATTTTTTGCGGAATTCTACGGGTATAGAGCTGTGAGCTGAACTCCCGCCTCGTAATCGCCATGTAGGAAAGAAGTAATACATATGCGTGAATTTATACTAATTTAATACGAATTCATTAAGAAAGTCGAAAATTTATTAATACCTGATTAGCGTAGCAATTCGGGTATTTTTACAAGGGTATTTTATTTAGGTATTTTTGCGAGAGACCTAAATGTACACCAAATCCTGCCCAGGTATTTATATTTCCGGGATTTCTCTACTTTTTTCAGCTAAACCTATTTCAATCATTACTAAATAGCTGCCTATTAATATCGAACTTGTTAATTTTAACCCGTATAGGACACCTGGATGCGAATTCGCACCAAGCGAATTTTTTTAAAGTTTTTATATCTTCTGAAAATAAAAAGCAAAATTAAAGCAAAATGTGTTTGTCAAGGTAAAATTGTCTGACCAATCGATTGGTAATATTAAATTTTCAAAAAAAGAACGTAATTGTTTTCAAATTTCGTGTTAAACAAAATCATTCAAAAGAGAAGTGTCCTTTACGGATTAAACTGTTTTGGTTATTTAACATTTTATGAAATTGTTTAAATAATAAAGCTAAGGTCTAAAATAAGTTTGTTTCTATATGTGCAACTATAAAAGAAATATACAGAGCTAAATGTAATTTTTGTTGCATACAAAACATTAAAGATTTTTTTATATAACTATTATTTATTTTTACAAAAAAAATTATTTCTTTTATATAGATATTTTTATGAAATATATCAAATTAAAATACGTGTATTTAAAGAGATTGAAAGACTCAAGTCTGACGAATTAAAATATTACAAAACGCTGTTATAAAAATTAATATTTTCCATGATCACTACTCGTTACTTATTTAAAAATTGTAAAATGAAATTGAACTTTTTCTTCACGCTAGTCTAATCTAAATTACAAAAAAGAAGTCGAATATAATGGAACATATAAATAAATTTATAAACATAAAAAATTTATGTTTTGGATATTTTATATATTTTATTGTAATTATTGTGCTCATATCCGATTAACATAGCTGACGTTAAATAAAAATTCTCTGCGTTTAATAAAAATTTTATATTTATTCCTGGACGCGCAAAATAATGCTGCTAGTGCTGGATACTGGTCCAATTACTCAAATTTTGCCGTGGTAAGGGAGAGTTTAGCAATCGAGCTCTCCGCGTCTCGTGAAAGGAATTCCGATGTCAATGCACCCTGCATTTTCACAACATGTGCAAAACAAAGCGTCCAAGGCCTTGGACGCATCAGTACCGTTGCGTGGGCACCCTTTCTCTGCGTGACCAAAGGGAAGTTGGATGGTCTGTGCGCGGACAGGGATTTTCTCCACAGGATATATAATGCTCGAACCGTATCGGCATAATTACACGGCCGGCGTTAGTGTCACATCCTAAACAATATGCCGAAGAAGGGTAGGGCCTCGGGTCGCCATACACCTGCAAAAGAACCCCATATTTCATCCGGCGCTGCAAGCGACTTTTGTGCTTTCACGTGCCGTGAAATGGTAAGGGTCATTGAGCATCCCTAATTTTTCATTGTGTCCCGAGAAATAGGACTAGGATCGATAGCTAGGATCGAGATTCGGATCGCATCTGGAATAGCGCGGCTTTAACTCTTAACGCCCGTAGTGTCGACGTTGATCATCGATAAGAGTCATTGTTCATAGATCAAATTACACAGATTTTTCGAAAGTATGCCAAACGTGTAAATCACTTGTCCTTTTCATTAAAATTACAGAGTTTTGCTAGTTAAATCAAGAAAACTATTGTGAAACAACGCCGCGTTTTAAAAGCTATATTTAATTAACTATAAATAAATGATACAAAATCTTTTCCCTCACGAAATTATATCTTTATCAATTTTAAAGTAAGTTAGATGTGCCAGTAAGTAACTTAAACTTTACTTACTGGCACATCTAACAGTAAATAAAATATAAGAAAATGATTGAAAATATAAACCAAAAGAATCATCATAAATAAAATTATATATATATAATATATAAAGGCAACGTGAACATTATTTCTTCTAATATTTATGTAAAAAAGTAAAATAAGCGTATATAGAAACTTAGATTTCCTTAAATAAGAAGCTAAGAAGAAGTTTTTTAATTTGATTTAATTTACCACTTTATGACTTCTTCCATCTAAATCTGAGGGATCTAAGGATCCATCGATCCTACGCGACGTATGGCGACTGTCGCGTACGATTAAGCGAGTCTGAATACTAACTGGGCATCTCGGTCGGAGGGGGACGAACGGAGGAGGGGGGCCCCCTCGACCTGCACGTGTTTCCCCCGAATACTTTGCATCACCATTACCGCCAACTTGATGCCCCTTTGTATCGCGCGCACCGGAGGGGCAATGCCGTAGTTTCGTTCCCAACTAGGCGTATCATTGGGGGATTCGTACCGCGCGCAGCACAGGAACAGAGACAAAGAGATCTATATAGGCTTTTATTTGGCAAACATCGCCGATAGACGGCCCGTACAAAGGACGGCATTGTCGCATATTTACGCGGACTGACAAACGGCCAAATACTCAACGCGCACCGACTTTCGGCGAAAAAATATGTCCCGCAGGCAGTCTCGCTCGAAAATGGCATTCGGTTATTAGCCGAATCCGCGGGGGCAACAGCTATATACGCGTCGGGAAAAGAGCGGAGGCCGATCGGCGACGAGCGCTACTCAAATCTACAAACAGCTTCATGTCAATATAGCGTCTCGATTCCTTCTCATTTTACAACTCGTTTCGTCCGTCCATGTATCTATCGATAGACTTTTATGTTAAACTGGACAATCACTATATGAAATAGTCTCAACAGACATCTATATTTATCCGAAATAAATTTTACAAAATTATATTATTAAGATAGTTATCGAGAGATGTTCACTTGTGCAGTGAAAACTTTGTTTGTGAAGCAATTGGTCAAATTATCTACAAGTTGAGTTCTCTAAAACTATCAGTTTTATAATTACTTTGTGATACATTTTGCTTAGAATAAATGTACAATAAATTATTATATAAGGTAAATTTTATTCTCTATTAATCTTCTATTAATTTTCTGAGGTCATTTATCCTGTTAATTTTCTGTTAATTTTCTTCTATTAATTTTTTAAAATCAAGTGTAGCGGTTATCAAGTAAAATTAATTAAATACGTCCTTTTGAACGAAAAATTATGTACTGTATTGTTAGATTAATCACGTTCTTCTCTTGGATGGCATAAATATTTCTATGAAATCAGCAACGTACGTTTGATATACATATACTAGTATATATAGTGTACTTCCAGTTTTATCTTTATTTTTGACGCAGGTTATTCATCGCAAGGGATGAACCCGTCGCTCTTCGCTCTCACGTCGATGCTTCTATCTTCAATGACGATAGACCCATATAGGAGGGTAGAGAAAGCTATAAACTTACTTCAAATTGATCTGAATTTTTGTTTTGCATGATTGTTATTGTAAAAAAAAGAGAGAGATTCCGGCGGCGCCCAAGATCGATGTCGGACGAATTCGTCGGGATACGTCACTGAATCCGGCAATGGTCGGCCGGATATTGATCTCCAGCTCGTGCGTTGCCGCCGGTTGAGGACCACTGGCGTCGTTTCACCCCACCGATTCGCTCTGGCAAGGGCGGTTCCGCGCGACGCCAATCGCGCCTCTACCGTTAGCTTCCGCGGGGGATGAACCCGCCCTCCTCACGCTCGCGTCGATGCCTCGTCTATCTCCAATGACGGAGACGAGACGCACACCCGCGCACCCGCTGCACACAAACGGCAAGGTAGAGAAAGCCGCGCCGTGTGTGGGGGGATGGGGGTTGGTGGGAGGGTAGGTGGGAGCGAGAGGGGGATGATTTTCGCTGTCGGCGAAGTCGGTGGGCCTCGTCAAAAAAGCGACGGAGCTCACGCTGATGACACGTACGAGACCGTCACGTACGGAGTGCGTTCGGTGCCGGAATAGCGCGACGAGTGTATGAGAAAGTGGAACGGGGGAACCGGGCGCGGAAACATCGGCGATCGTCTTCGTGTCCAGAATGCGATGCGGCCGTGGCATCGCGCGCCCCGAGGTCGTCCGGGAGGACCGTCGCGTTAAACTCGCACACCGCAACCCCGGCAGTTCGTCATGAGACTCGGATGACGTATACGGCATTGCCCGTATCAAACAACACGACGAGGGCTGAACGACGATCGTCCTGTCCGCGGCGTTCTTTCCGCCACTCGCTGCAACCAGAGAAACAAATGTTCAAGATCTGATCGAAGCAAGATCGATGTAAAGGGTGTAAAGGACTAATTTAGCCTGGACCTGAATTGATTTACTGAGGTGTTAACTAGAGAGATTGTTGTATTTCTATGTATATTTAACGGAAAACAACGTCACACGCGATATTCTCATTTCGATGATAAGTGATATTAAAGAAATTGAACAATTTGAAGGATCCAACAGTCGACGAGACGAGAAGCAAGTGAAGTGTGATTTATTGACAATTTATCGTCGATCTATTCATCGAAAAACTCGAGTTAAAAGACGTTCTGTCAAGATTTGGGAGTCAATTGGAGTTTTTCGAAACAATCAGATGCCAAAAATAGAAGCAGGCAACAGGAGAGAAAGAGAGGAAGAGTTTTCTTAAGAAGACAAACTTTTCTTTCGGAGATCTAACTCCCTTCGGTTTAAAGACTTTTCGGATATTGGTGTGTGGCCTTCAAGTGTTTAGAATTCCAGCGAAAGCTTTGCAGCAAAAACTTTAAAATTCCTCTTGCAGCTGAAAAACTTTCTTATCTTCAAGGTTCCAGTGAGAAAACACCATGTTGGAATTTTATCCTCCAGCGCCTGGTTCTTTCAATCGTCAAAGCGAACCGGGCCAAACCTTGCCGACGGTTCCACCTATCCCCTTTCGGCCTACAACTGATAATAATAATGCAGGTGAGAACAAATTAATTTTAAAAACGTGTAAAAAAATCTTTACTCCGAAATATATATATTTTTTAAATTCCAAGCATAAAAACGCTCTAAGAGTTCTCTAAAAAAACGTTTCTAAATAAGTCTGCACGAATTAGCGTAATACAGACTATTGTTTTAAGAAAATAAAAAATGGCAAAGATATGATTGTTTAATCTAAGAAGATATGGTTCTATACAAAAGTTAATTTATAACTTTGGAAATTGACATAAGAAATTCATAGTCCGATCTCGTATTCAAAAGCATCTTAAACCTGGTTGTAGGCAGTCTTAAGACTTCATTTGACTAATAAAATATTCGTATAAAAATCATACGTCCCGAGATTGTACTTAAAATGATCTTGAATAGAAAACTATGAATACTAGCCTAAAATTGTAATAAATATGTATTGCATTGTAGTAAACGTGTATGTCAACTATACGATATAACTGTTAAAAGTAAAGATTGATGCATTATTTTTATTTCATAAGCAGTATTTACCAATAAATTGAGAAAAATATGATATTATAGCAAGGAAAACTAGCGACATTACCCAGAAGAAATTTTGTGCAACAGAAAATTATAAAATAAAAACTGCAACTTGAAAAATAAATAATGATATATTATAATTGTTACATTTTGAAACTAGAGAATCGTGAATTTTATTGAAAAAAGAGATAGCTTCAAATGTTCTACATTTAAATTATAAAATTGCCATATTATTTTTATATTTCTAATCTTCTTTCCAAATGATCATCCGATATATTAATATACATTATATATATTTATATATAATAGGTAATTTTTAATTTTCTGAAAGTATCAAATATTATTTCAGCGCCAAAATTCTCGAAAGATTTAGATCACACATCGACTATACTTGTTTAATAAAAAATGAATATCAATTTGAGAAATAGAGCTAAATATTTTATATACCTGCGCTATTTTACGTCTCACAAGCAAAAAGAAAACGTTAAATCTTTGCCGAAAGATACACGCGGTCCGCGTCAAGTCACGCGCAGCGGACAGTAAGGCGGACCGCACATCTATCCGCACTACTGCGTTTCCTTCTACCTGCCTCTTTTTTTCCTTTCGACCCATAGAAAGGATATTCGAAGGGTTTCGATTTCGACATATGTGATTGTGAACGGCAAGTTTCGCGAACGTGCTTTAAAACGCCCGTGGCATTTGTTCCCGCAGAGCCGACCGTTTCCGTCAAGACGGAGTCCGGCCTCCTCGAGACAATCTGCGCCGGCTGCGGTCGCACCATCGCCGACAAATACGTGATGCGAGTCGCCGAGAGGAATTACCACGAGGAGTGCCTCTCGTGCACGGCATGCGGCGCGATGCTGTCGCACTCGTGCTTCATACGCGACCTCAAGCTCTACTGCCGTTCCGACTACGAGAGGATCTTCGGGGTGAAGTGCGCGCGGTGCATGGAGAAGATCAGCTGCTCGGATCTGGTGATGCGGCCGGTGTCCGGCCTGATCTTCCACGTGGAGTGCTTCGCGTGTTGCATGTGCGGCCAACCGTTGCCACGGGGCGCCCACTACATCCTCAGGCAGGGCCAGCCGATCTGCAGACGGGACTTCGAGCACGAGCTGTTTCTAAATAGTCCGCAAGGTGAGTGTCGCCTGTTTCGTGTGTATTTTACGATCGCACGCGTGCATCAATCGCGATCCTGTCTTCGACGCGGGGTTCGACTTCCAAGTTGCCGCTCGATTCAGCCGTTTTGAAATAGCGCACCTGTTCCGGTTACCGTCCTCCTCTGACGTGCATAAAACGATTGGATCTTTATACGTTTCATAAATGTCTAACGTGAAAGAGAATAGAAAGTTGATCTATTTAGAAAATATACAATCGGATCATTTTAAATAATAGATAATTTGAAGCGATCACTTTGTCGTCAAGAAAATACGATCAATTTGAAACGTTTTTCTCATATAAATTTGGTGTATATATTACCGTCAAAACTCAGAATCGTTAAAACCCCATTTCACTAGTTAAAGCTAGTTTTAAATTTAATTGAAACGAGGTCTATAAATTGTACTGTTTAAACTGTTTTACATGGGTTTTCGACTTTCCACGTGTAGCAAAGTTTAACCCTCTTCCCTCCCTTCCTCGCTGTTTACGGGGCGAAACGAGGTTTATAATTATATTGTCCACATATAAATTTTCAAGTTTACGTATAGTCAACCATTCTAGTTTTAACTAGTAAATTTGAGTTTTAACGGATTATAGGTTTTGACGGTAACATAAACATATACATTAATAGCTGCAGCGTATAAATAAAGAGTATTTGATGTTACAGCCTGACAGTAGAAATTGTATCCTAATTAAGGAGCTTATGTATATGTATACATGCACGGACGTGATTATTTTTCTCGAGAGCCGAGAGGCGTCGTTCTTACGTGAAATATGTTATCGTAAACGAGCACTGGCATGAATGCGTGGAAATGTGTGCGTATCATGTTGCATGAGAGATGATTTTCCACAATATATCTATCTCTGTATGTGAATTACAAGCTCTGTTTTCATCCCTTCGCTAAGATAGAAGCATTATCTGGTATACTACAATTGAGCGACTCTGCGAAAAGCTTATAGTTGAGTAAATATCTCGTAATTTACTCGTGCGGAATGAATCGAAAGGAGATCCCTAACGTTTCTTCCGCATACTGTTTATAACTGTGACAAAGCAAACTGCTCGATTATCTTTCATATATCGTCTTGTTTCGCGTTTTTAAACGCGATCGGCCGCCGCCGTTTCCAACGTTAAAATTATAAATGAATTGAGAATTGAGATTGGCGAGCGATGTACGAGCGATTTTGACCGCGAGATAATTTTCGCAAAAAGCCTCCCCTGGATCATTATCGCGGAATGCTTGAAAATACAATACGAATAACAATAAAATGAAAAACCGTTGAGAAACGCATTGTACATACCTTGTTGCATTGTTCGCAGGTTGTACTACAATCTAAAGACATCCAAAGTAAAAATCTACAGGAATTTCGAAACAGGGCTGTTCCTTTTCAAGGTAATTTATACTTTTCAATCAAGCGAATAAATGATCGGAAGCGTTATCGGCGGTGTGAGCGCGCGTTTTTTGGCGGCATTTCCTGAAACTATAGACATCGTTAAATTCGCCAATCCTCTATCTCTCTTTCTCTCTTTCTCTCACTCTCGCATAATCAAAATACCATGAAAATATCTTGATACCAAAAAAGATGTGGAATTTATTCCACGGCGTTTGTCCGACCGATATCCCAACATAAATTTATGGCACGCGTTTTGAGATATTTTATGTGTTATCGATGACGATAGAAAATGATATAAGAGCAGTTTGTGAGCCACCTACGTCTATACATTCCTTTCTCTCTCTCTCTCTCTCTCTCTCTCTCTCTACTTTTTTTATAATACTACATGTTTTAAATACTAAAAATCGCACTTAATAGCGAAACATTGAAAAAGATCCCAATAAAAATTTTAAAGTAAATTTAAAAATTTTTACGAGACAATGAGCCATTGGAAACAAATTTTTTTTCCACATTATAACAAGTATCGTGCAAATATTTCTGCCGCGTCGGTTTTAATTGTTCATCGCGCTTTTATTAACAATGAATGATCCGCGATTTTAACGGCGCGATCGCGCTCATTGATTTGATCGACAATTCCACCGGCCTCGTATTCCCACGGGAGCGAAACAATTTTTAACAATGGAATTCCTAGAATTCTTGAAATGTGTGCGTAAAATGGAATCGGCGCGCATATGGCCGGTGCGTTTGTTCGCGGCCGACATGTTGCCGCGCTGCGGTACATATGTTGCACGGTAGGCGTGGCCTGTGCTTTGTCGGATCACTGTCTGATCGAAACCACCCGTATCTACTGCTCGACTTCGACCACTGGCCTCTTGCGTCTGACGATCAATCCCGGTCACACGGCGGCGGCGGTCGCACCATTCGCAACACGAAAACTGTTCCCGCAATAATAAATTGTTCACTCTTATTATTCTCCATTTTATTTTACGTCGTCGAATGTTTTTTTACGTGCAATAGTTTAATAATTAGCTTTCATTAAATTTTTATAAAAACAATCGTTTTACCAAGATAAATCTTAAAATATTAGTATGTAATGTATGATAAAACAATAGAATATGTGTTATGGAGTATGTGTGTGCACGCTTGTGCGTACGCATATGTGTATGTATTTAATGTAGCACGCGACATTAAATATGATTTAAAAAATTAAACTGAATTCTATTATATTTTTTTATACTTTCTATTTATATTATTGGAATGTTGAGATTGAAAAGCAGAAATTTAAAATAAATAAAAGACTAATAAGAAATAAGTGGGCAGCGTTGCTGCGCACGTGAAAATTATTTATAAACATAAATAAATCGCATTGTTAGATGATGACTTGTTGGACGAGAATCGACCACGGGACGGCCGTCGGGGTCCGAAACGGCCGCGGACGATCCTTACGTCGGCGCAGCGACGTCAGTTCAAGGCGTCCTTCGAGGTGTCTCCGAAGCCTTGCAGGAAGGTGCGCGAAGCACTCGCCAAGGACACCGGTCTCAGCGTGCGCGTGGTTCAAGTGTGGTTCCAGAATCAGCGCGCGAAGATGAAAAAGCTCCAGCGGAAGGCCAAAACGGAGCCCGGATCCGATAAGGAGCCGAAGGAGGAGCGAAGGACGGAAAGTCCGCACAGCGATCACAGTAAGCCTTTTTTTTTCACTACAGAATTCTATCGCAAATTCAATCGCATGACTGCTTCCGAATTTCCAGATCCTAAAATCCCTTTTTGATCCTGAACGTGAAATTTCGAAAACGTGGTTGTTTCTATGCAATACTTTCATTAATTCTAACCAATTTTTACCGATTGCTGTCTCACTTTCATAATCGAGTCATCTACTATTATATAAAGAAAAAAAGAAATTCATGTAGCGTAGAACTGAGAAACAAACGCGCGCGAGAATCGAAAAACTTCGCGAATTTGCGAAGACTGGTTAATGGGGCTTTGGTAAACGAGTGAGTTCAATGTCAATTGTCTAATCTCGTTCGCAGGTCATTACTTGAACGCCCTGAACATGCGCGATGGGGAATCTTCTAGCTTCCCCTCAGCCACCCAACCGCTCAACCCCAATAACCCGTACTCGCCCGACGGTAAGTCTTTACTCACCGTAGAAACTCATTTGCGCACCGATCAGACGGTATGTGCGTAACGCGTTTGTGTCCCGTGACAGTTGTTTACAAGATATCCTGGTACACGCGGATGATATTAGAATTCAGATATTCAAACAGATATTCCGGCTGATTTGCAATTGATTCTTTCGCTCAAAAATTGGATGCTTCATTACTGACAATAAAATAGATCTCTCAAATGAATAAAAGTTTTTAGTGAATTAAAACAAATTTTGTCAAAGACTTTCTGTGGAAACATTCTTGAAATTTGTGAAATGCAATTGGTACAGCATTTTAATATTTAACATTAAAAATTCCATTTTTAATCCCTAAATCTTGCAACGACGTAAAAGTAAGCTTAGAAATATAAAAAAAATGTTACGACAAAACGGGCAAATGAGAGTCACGCGCTGTTAGTGAGGCGCAAAGTTTTAGCTTTTTATTAATGAGAGCTAAATACAAAGTCTACATTTTTGCCCGCTTTGTTTTTACATTTTGAATATAGAGAGTCCTTTCTAGATTTTGTTTTTAGAAATATAAAATAGTCGATCAAATTTTTAGGGAAAATTAGCTGCGAACTGCAATTGACATGCATTTTCTCCGTTGTCTCTTGTATTTTTGGCAGCGTGATTAATTGCAATACAACTTCGCGAGGAACGACGAAATGCATATCTTTCCTTCCAGACGCGTACCCGGGCCACTCGGGGGAGAGCTTCTGCAGCAGCGACCTGTCCCTGGACGGCACGGACGGCGGCTTCGACATCGGCGAGAACGAGGGCGGCGGCGCGGACGGCAGTCATCAGGGTGCCTCGCATTCCCACCACGGCTCATCGTCGCACGACACCCCGTCGCTGTCGCAGAGCCTGCACGCGGCCATCAACAATCCCATCGACAAACTGTTCATGATGCAGAGTAGTTACTTCAGCGGCGATCACGCGTAATCCAAATTTTCCCCTTTCTTCCTCTCTCTCTTTCTTTCTCCCTCTCTCTGTCTCTATCTTATTTCTCGTCGCTCTTATTTCTCGTCGTCTCGCCCTCTTTCTGTACGTTCTCTTACCTGTCCTATCAAACGATTTGCTTTATCAACGAGGAAGCCGATGTTAACACGTTCTTATTCATCTTTCCGCATCGCGATCAGTTTTTCGAGTTCAGACTTTTTGTTTTCTCTAAGCTGGCCGCTGCTAACCCGATTTCAACCGACATTTTGAAAACTTTTATTTTTCTTCTAGATGACCTGATATATTCCTACCCTTTGAATTTGCGACGTCGACGATTCTCCAAAAGTATATTTGCTTTTTTCTCTGTTTCAAATACAAACTCTGTATTTATCCTCTGTGTGTAATAAATGCATATTCATAAAAACGCTACGAAGAATGTTATTATAACATTTTTCCCTTGTCTTATTTTTAGTGACAAAGAATGCATTATTGAATGGATGCTATTAAAATTAATGTTATGTTAATACAAAGATTTTATTCCTACAAGAAAGGATTCATGTTTTTCAATAGTCCGACTACAGAAAATTATGATAAAGTATTTTTTCCCGAGCGTTGCACGATCAAAAATAGCCGGTTAAAAAGAAAATAAAGTAAAAAGTAAAAAAGTGAATGTGAAGGAATGACTGAAATAAATACTTGTAAATTTTTAAATAATTGACATATACTAGATGTATATTGCATATTATTTATACTGTGTCAACTTTTAAAAATACTTTAAAAATGTTTGTTTAACAAGCTATCTGTAGGTAAATCTATTATGCAGTTATTAATATGTAGTAATAACAATAAAACTAATATGTTAATATAATAACTACTATGTTAATATAATCGATATTTATGGACTGTCATCAATTTTATTTATGTTTAACTCTAGTCTCATTTGTTTAATTAAATTATTATTTATTAATATGTTTCTCATTATTTAATTTCATATTTTACTTAATTAATCAAATTAATTTATTTTCGATAATTCACAGGTAAGCTAAGTACACGCGATGAAAAATATCTGTATACATGCATGTAAAGGGAAAAAGGTATATTATATTGAAAATATATTTAAAAAGAAATACACGAGAAAAAAATATATTGTGAAATACTTACTTATTATACAATTGTTTTTATTAATAAAATCGTATATTCAAATCACGAAACTCATTTTTTAAGGTCAATAATTTATTTAGCATTATTGTATAATTTTATATAATATTATTATAAATATTAAATTAAAAGATATAATGTTAATTAAAGCACTTTTAAAATTTTTCTAATCCACTTTGAAAAATTAAAGAATGTATGTTTTAATATAAATTTCTTACTTTACAAATATCTTTCAAGACACTATATAACTTACCGAGAGTTTTATCTCATTTAAAGATAAAAATGTAATAAATATATAACAATATTTATTACATCATTTTATGATAAATACAATCACATTATTTATCACAAATTATATAAAAAATAAGTATTAAAAAGTATGCATATTTAATAATTAGATGAAATTTAGGGATTAAGAACACACAATAAATATTTTCCGTTTTTTTTTCATGTATAAAATGGTATATTTAGATGTTCAATGTATTTTACATTTGTTCCTTTTCCGTGAGATCGTGACTAATCTACAGCTTGCGTCGCAGCTATTAGCTTAAAAGTTTATGCTCAAAAGTTATTACTTCTACATATTTCATTACTGGTGACAGGCTTCCTTTTGTTCTTGCTCTCATTTCAAGTCCTATTTCAAGTTCACTACTATCTTGATAACAAGTATTGCAACGAGGCAACGTGTTTTTATCGGCGATAACGTAACACTCGCGTGCATAACAATTAATATTCAACCATTATCATCCCTTGTGTGGCATACTTTTATTAAAAATATCAATATAACTTTCATTTCTAACAACAAGATCTCATAATTTCTTTTGGCTTAAGACTAATTTAAAATTTGTTTAGATGAGAATATTTCGACACTATTCAACAATGCAACGTATTAATAGTCAATAGTATTATTAGTCATTAATTGTCAACAATAATACTTCGTGATCTTTGAAGGATACTTTCAGATTGCAATATTACTTTCTCAGCCTAAGAAATGCTTACGTTTGTGATTATAGCATAGTGATATTTTTTTCAGTCTAACATTACGTTGATTGACATTTTAAGCAGTTGTTTTTATTTTATTCAACGAATAATTATCATTTCTACGTGAGCAAAGAGAGGAAAATAATATTATATAAGGTAGCCTTAATTTGTGTACCTTAAATATCTTTGCTATTTGGAATAATGAGAAAGAAGAATTAAAGCTATAAATTTTTAAGATTTCAAAGAGCAGGTAATATAGACAATAATTTCGTTGTGCATGAAGATCTGAAAGATTTCAAGAGCAATTCGATTTCTTTAAATGAAATCGTTTCTTACATAAGATAAGAAGTAAAATAATTTAAAATTAATACTTGTCAGGAATATAAAGTTAAACTATTACATAAACTACTGATAATCTTATCTTCATAGTTTAGTTTACAAAATGATTAGAAAAATCATACTACGTAAAAAGTTTACAAAATGATTAGAAAAATCATACTACGTAAAAAAGTTATTTCAAATCTTATATAATTAAGGTTTTATTTAAAGAAACCAAGTTGTGTTATTTTCAAGCAAAAATATAATTATGATTGTTCCTCGAAAGCATAATAAAATTGTGTAGCTTTAATTTTTTTATTATTCATTATAGCAAAGATATGCATGTTAAATAATCCATTTAAACAAAAAAGAATAAGATATTTATAATATATACAAGTATTACGTTAAAAAGAAAAATAAATCCCATTTGTTTAATATGTGAAAAAAATTCAATTGATCCGTGTAAAATAATACGTGATTATACGATTATCTATTAAACAAAATCATGTAATGATGGAGATAAAGCACGACACAAATCCTATCACCTTCGTAACTGAACAATTGAATTATATAATAAAAAAGAACACGATATTTAATTGTTCCGATTTTCTGATTGTTGTTTGTTGAAGCTTAACAAGCTTATATGGATCTTTTATGTATTCTTTGTGTATCCATAAAATTTATAAAAGATTCGTATTAAAAATGTAATTCAAGATAATTGAGAATGTAGATCCGCTTTCACATGCATTTTTTCTTAATACTTTCCGCATGCTTATTTCTTAATATAGTATATCTTCATTTATCCTGTAGCGTGCATCTATGAAGAGCAATATTATTGCAATTTCGACGGGGTAGAAAATGGAACGCATGTATATTATAATAATGACTTACTTTCAATGTTATAACTTTCATGTGTACTTTCATTTTTAACGTTTCAACATTGGTTCTGTCGAAACAGTGTTTTCTCTCTTTAGTAAGAGGATATTATTCTTTTTTTGTATCTCTTTCTTCGAAGAGAAATTATGAGCTTAGGAGTCAATAAATCTTCTGAAATTAAAAAAAAAACATAAAAATTTCCATATTTAAGAATCAGAAGATTTAAAACTCAGAGTTCGTTACATCGATTAGCACTCCACACTTTGGAGTTAAATATAACTTTAAATTTTAAAACGATTGAGTAATTTATAAAAATTATGAAGTTAGAGTGTTTCTTATTGGCAATATAACATTTAGACATTTCCCACAATTAGGACATCGCAATAATCATTATCTATGATCATTTTTCCATACGTTATGTAAATTCAATCATATATTTTGATAAGATATAAAACAAAACTGAGAAGGCAACGGAAAATTACTCCAATTATTTTTTTTCCTAGGCTGTCGTAGAGAGAAAACCTAAAATAAAAAATCCCTTTAATGTGGACAAAACACAGATTTCTTTAAAATAATCGTCAACATCAGGAGGATCTAATTTGGCACACAGAAAAAAAATGAAACAAAACGTCTAATTTTATTTAAATTTTTGCTCCAATTTGATTTTATTAAATTATAATAATACGATCGATAATATGATTTAACAATTCTCTTTTGTTTTATACGTTGAAATTATTGATATATAATAAAATATTATAAAATTTGAATACAAAGTACGTTATTTAAATTTATCAATTCCTTAAGAATTTACGTCGCTCGAGTATCGATTATTGCAACATCCACCTTACAAAAAAAATAGAGATGAATGCCAGTCGTATTTCTAAGTACTCGTGTCACCGAGATGAAAAGCTTAAGCGCAAATATTTTACGAATAGTTGTCTAATTGGAGAATTGTTCGCGAATATCTATTCGATATTCGTATATACTAATGGTATTATATATATATATATATATATATATATATAAAACCCGCTTTTGACATTTTTATGCATACCAGTGGACTACAGTCGTACGCACAGTGTACATGCAATGTATGCGTACACGCGTACGCATACATCGTATGTGTACGTATTCGAGTTGAACGCATAAGAACATGTATCTCTCTAAAGTGGGTAATAAAAATCTTTAACAACGACCGGCGCGAGATGACGTTTTCCAGTACATTATCGATGCTTAGGAGAGATTTCATCACAGATCGAACCGCCCGATTCGTTTGCGATCGGGGGGTTGTTGTCGCGAGATTTCGAATGCTCTTCGACAAGCTATCGCGCCTATTTCTTCGTTTATTATCTACGTAAAAATCTAAGTAAATTCATGGCGGTGAAAGAAGGACAGAGAGACCGAAAAAAAGAAGTGAGAGGGACGAGCTCGAGAGCCCGATTTGCTTCCTGACACTGTTATCGTCAGGGCTCGTTCCCAAAGGTGCTCTCGTCCCGCGTATGTCTCTCTGCTTCGGAAAAATATTCGGGAGCGTTTGATTGCGTTCACTTGAAGGAGTTCACTATGTCCACGAGGCTGACGTAGGTCCCCACCACGAGACCCAGCAGTCCGAATATGATCAGGAGGATGTTCTTGATTAGTATGTACTTGAGGGGACCGAAATCGTTGTCCGGCCACAGCACGCATATCTCGATAATCGCCGGGAAAGCGATACCGAGGGCGGATAGGCAGAGCGCGCCGAAGAGGGAGATAAATAGGCCGAGTCTCGGTATAGCGATCGCCAGAACGACTGAAAGTGATAAAGACCACAAAGATTAGATATCCGCGAGGACCTTCGGAGGGACCTTCAAACTTTAATTCATGCAATTTTGATATCTGATCAGTTCTGTATCGATTTAAGCACTCGAACATCAGGTAAGTACCTATACTTTTCGCGCGCGCTGTCGACATTTTTCATATTAATTCACATAATATTGTTTAACAGGCTCTTGGAAATTCAATAATTATAATATAATTATTAATTAAAAGGTTTCATTGATTAATTGATTAATTAATAACAATTTATATAATAACGCCACTTACACGTGACTAGGGTAATAACGGTTCTACAAACGTATTCCCACAAAAGTTTGCGGTTTCGTATTCGATGATCCAAATAGGTGGTCCACAAAATTTCAACGGGCACGTAGGCTTGCAGGGCGTATGTTATGAATATGGCGATGGCAAACATTATTTTAATACTTTGAGCCATACTGCAAGAAAAGAGATTATAAAAAATAAATTTTATTATATAATAGAAAATAATTCTATTACTCTAGATTAGGATCTAGATGATATATTTAATGTAAATTTGAGAAATTTTTTTCGAATCTTTGTATTTTAATTAATAAAATCAAGATAGTTTTATTATATAATAGTATAATTATGCAAAATTGATTTGAAGTTTTGTAACTTTTTTGTTTATCTTACTGAAAATTGGAATTACTTTTTTTCTACTCACGCTTCATCTGGCGGCAGATTAAAAGTAACACTCCCCGCGGCCTCGGATCCGTACTTTATGTACCCGAAAAAGCCCATGGCTATGTATAAGATAACAATCACAATCATCCCTATATTCAGTACACCACAATAGCCTCCAAAACTTTTCGGCGTCGTCATATTGTTCTCCAGAGCTATAATCTGCGTAACGACAGTAATATTTTGTCTTTTGAATATTATTAATAATGGTATATAAATAAGTAAGCGAAATTTTTACTTTATTTAATTCTTACTTCTATTTATTTCTTATAGAAGATATTCCCAAAATAAATTTTAATATTACTTTTCACTTGTGTACTTAATATTTTCCTTTAGCTATTATAATTATGGGATAAACAGATTTAACAGAAAATCAAGTTTTAAGAATATCTTGATAAATAACGATTACGAGCATAACGATTACGTTCACTGGGGCCTTTGCATATTGCTTTCCACATGTCAATTTCTGTCATATGTAGAAATATAATATGTAGAAATATATGTATACAAAAAAATCTTTTCCCGAGATGAGGGAGATTACTATACTAATCGCACAATTTAAAGAGGAATATATCTTTTCTGAACTTACCACACCGACGGCTTCTAACGCAAATAACGTCGTTCCAAAATAGAGGGAAAAATTTCTTAATGAACCAAACATCTCCCTCTCGCTGATCGGCGGTAGATCTTTGAACATATACACTAGAGTCATGCTGAGTCCGACGAACGTAATAAGATTTGCTAGCGTGGAAAACGGCGCCAGTAACTTCAGATTTCTAATGTAGTTTATCAAAATCAGCGGAAGCAACAAAATGAGCATATGGGTCGAAATATCCAAAGGTGCCCAATACTGGTCTGTCACCTGCGTTCATTAACAAAATTACAATGAATGCACGGCTACTCACGTCCATCAGACGTGGGTTAAAAGTATACGTTGTCGATCAGCGAAGAATTACAGGAGAGCAAAATCGATTCCTCGATATATTCGATTCCGATTTCTTATTGCCATTATGTGGATTTACCTGTTTGATATTTGATGCTACAAAAACGATATAAACGCAGCAAATTCCCAATTGATATACTATCATAAACCCGTCTACGAGTGCTCTGGAAATAACAGCATTTTTAGGATTCAATTGCGGACTCGCGCATATTTTTGTAACACACAAAAAACTGGATGGAAACAATTATACGAGTACTTTCATCTCACGTAGCAATCAATATCTTTTTTTAGCTTCTATATGAACGCAGCGGCAGAACAACGCTCGTATTCATTATTTTTATATAGAAAATACGTCTATAAAAAATGTCTCATTTATACTTGCTTTCTTGCTTATGTATTATTATTCGTTATTTTATAATTGAAAATAAGACACAGGCAAATAAAAAAATCGTTCAACTTAAATAACTTCTAGTTATTTGAAATAGATTTTTTCAAAATTTGAGAGTTGCGTATAACTAATAATAAAATATTTTATGTTTATAACCACAGATTGTGCTACAATTATATGTATCTGCTTTTGAATGAAATATATATTTATCTCGTTTATTTATTCAATATACGTCGCGATAAAGTTAGTTCGATATAATAAATATTTTATATATATGTATAAAAAATATGTATACGTATACATTTTATTTTTATTTATTATTCTTCTTTAAAAGATTGCTACAAGAAGAATTGCTATAAGAATGCGGCAGGTGTAGCAATCTATTATTCTAATCGAGCATCGCTGAATTATGTCGACTAGACAAAAGACAGAAGTATACTTACGGTGCAAAGGGCGAAAACCATCGCACGCATCGAGGACCTCCCTCCAGAGCATATTTCATGCTAAGCGGATAACTCAATATAGGAACTCTTAACCGTTTACACAGTTTGTACTGCGCCTTTACGAGTATATGCAAGCAGTACGTGCACAATATGCCTATGATAATTGTAGCTATGACGCCAACCAGGAGGCCACTATTGTAAAATGCGTTCGGCATCGCTAAAATCCCCGTGCCCAAACTGCCCTTCAGCAGATGAACTAAGGTTTCGAAATTTCTGAAAGAAAATAAATATTTTTAGATTAATAGGACCGTTCCTAAAGAAATAATGTATGTACATCCAATCGCTTTATTACAGATATTTATATTCAAAATTGATCTTTCCTTCAAAATTAAATTTCAAAGAACGCGCGAAATTATTTATCTTAACAATTAATAATAATGTTTTAATAACAAATAATGCATCTTAACAATTCAATAGCGAGAATTATGTTTGATAATTTTATTATAGTTTATTTTGACACATTCATTATATTTTGGTCTCATATATTTAATTGTAATAAATGTGTCATGCGCACGTAATTTGATATAATTTGATAAAAATTATCATATACGAATTCGAAGGAATATGTTACGGTGGCAATATATTGTCTTCTTTAAATACAATATTTTCTACTTCAAGTAATTATTTAATCATTATTTTGTACGAAGTACTTACGAAGTTGGATTTGGTCTGTTCCGATGCTTATGAGGATCATAATCCGTCATATCTTCGCTTGGAGATAATGCACTTTCAGTATTATTTACACCATCTCCGATGACTTGTTCATTGTTCTTCCTGCGTATAAATTTTTAGATGACATCATTATGACAGAAATAATTAACGAAAAATTAAAGTATATATAACTTTTTTTTTTAAATTAATACGTCTATCTTTTCTCTTTCATTATATATCTATTATATATTCATGTAGGAATAATTTCAAGTTTCGATTTATTTAATGTGTATACTTAATAATATTATTCAATCGTACTTATGAGGACTTTGAGAGTCAATCGGTTCCATCCGTAAACATTCTTTCTCCGAGTTCTCCATGGTCACACAATTTCTTTTGATTCGTTCGTGTCGCTAAAACGTTTTTATATATTATTTTCATTATACTGTTATATATTTATAATTGTATAAATTGTATTTTGCCAAAATAATTGTTAATGCATTATTTGCTTATAAGATTTGAAATTATAATGAGTCACTTCATCTTTTTTCTGTCGAGACAATAAGTACTCATTAATTTTACTAATTTATTGTCTCGACAGAAAAAAGCTAAAGTGACTCATTATAATTTCAAATCTTATAAGCAAATGATGCATTAACAATTATTTTACATAACGCGGAACATTAATTTATTCCTTAAAAATTAATAAAGTAATTCTCGATTTTATTTCATTTCAACAGAAGCATGTTTCACAGAAGCACTTTGATTTAATTAAAATGAATTAAAAGATAGTTATACATAAATTTATACAAAAATCGCCATTGAGATATCGGCTTAGCTTACTTTACTCGTAGCGGATTAAAGCACGAAGATGTGAGAATCGACGTACATCAGCGGAACGGTCCGGTTAAACCTCTAATCAATTGATACAGATGTGGAGCAATATAATAAAGGAAAAGTGTCAATTTACCATTGCGAATCCGTTGTACGCGCACGCGGGTTTAGCACATTCTTTCACGAACTGATTGCTCTTAATTATTGCATTGAGGTCAAATGCAGCTTGAGGTTAACTTACTGAAGGTTGCACTCGGGTATCCTCGCACTTCGCTATTTACGCCTTTGACCGTTTTGCATCGTTGAACTCAGACGATTGATCTCAAATACGCGCGAGGACAAAGTCTATTCTTGTAAAATGTAAATTCGCGTTTAGCGGTGCAACGGTGGTGCACCTCTCCGCGTTTTAAAAATAGATAAACGCATCTCGGAATTATTGTAGAAATTGTTACGAAGTAATTGTAATTCGCTTGATATATGCAAAAGTCATTCAATTATTATAGTTCGCCGCGTCACAACGAGAGGCACCGCCGTATTACGGAACCCTGTCGTGCAAATTACTCAATAACATAATAACACGGACATCTAATTTTATACGGGGGAAACGTTTTCCATTCTAAGGTCACGGTCGCGACAGAAATATCCGGGAAGAAGGAAATCATTATCTAATTTCGTAGAGATTGCAAAATTAAAGGCAACGCATTCTGCAAACTGCACTGTTGAATCTTGTAATTGCATTTTTAATATGTAATAATTTATTTTAAAATTAAGCAGAGTAAAGTAGTCGAGTAAAGCTTTGAGATTTTATTTTCGTCCGTTTCTTGATAAATTCATTCAGTCTCACGCCCGTATTTCTAATTAAATATTGAGTCTCATCTGCTAAGATTTCGACCGAATATCTAATTATTCTTCTGCTTCTGCCCAATCGTAATAATGGATTCTGTGAAATCATAGACTGACTCACCTATTATATAGTCCCAATCAACTTTCAGCAATCACTGGCATAGATTGTAATTTCCTCCGTTTGCAGTTCTTTACACCTACAATGAAAATCAAAGAAAAAGCCTTAGATCATATAATACAATTTCATTATTAGTTGCATTAGAATAATTCTAGTGACTATATTAATTCTAGTGACTATATTAATTCTAGTGACTATATTTCATTGAAATTCTGTAAAATGCAGACACATGATTATTAGCGAAATCTTTTCAAAAGAATAATAATAACTTTTATAAAATGCAGAAGATATGAAATATTATATATGTGAAGACAAATGTAGTAGATAGCAGTATCTCAAAAAGTAAGGCATCGGCAATGATGCCGCTTGTAAGAGTCTAAATCTCGGATATAATTAATATAACTGAAAATAATAATAATAACATAATAATCGCATAATAAAAATAATAATTGTTATTGTAATGACATAATAAATTATAATACGTGAAGAAAGCAAAAGGTACATACAAAGCAATACATGTTACTCGATTTGTTAACAAAAGAATATTCGTCTAAGTGTGCATTGAATATACGTGGGTTAGCCGTTTAAGTATTACAATCAGTCCTCCTAATTCTTACTTCCTCAACGTGCCTGGGGGGATCGAGCTATGTAGCTTCATGCTTGGGACAATATGACTGGACAACATACCTTGTCGATTCACTAATTTTAGGCTGTCGGAAGAGAGTTCCCTCTGCCAAAATTATCTTAACAAGTGTCATGCTATTTCGGAAGCAAGAGAAATGGGGACGCGGACATAAACGAATCTTGCAACGAATAACGATGCAACTAGGAAAGGAAATTCGTTTCGCGTACTCATGTCATTACAGATGGACGCTCCTGCTGAAATATATTTTTGAATCAACCGTACAATTGATTGGTCATATACGGATTAAGTAAAATTGATTATCAAGGTCAGTAATAAACATGTTACGCAACAATTAATGTTTAATAAATTGATTAATACATATAATATTATAATATTAATAATATAATATTATTACAGACTTCTGCTATAAAAAGTCTCTGATAAAACGTTTTTATTTTCAATAAGTAAGTATAAGCAAAAAATAAATGGGAAAGTAACATCGAAGTATCCCGACTTGAGAAATAAAGTTAGACGCGAAAGTCGTATATGTAGTGTTTGTAATGCCGATAATGATTTGAAATGATGCGTATTACGATATGG